TATTGTGAAGTCAATTCTGCACAGACTATTCTATAAACTTATCAAAGCGTAACAAAACATGAATTGATAAGCGGCAAGCCCCACTCCCTTAACAAAGGTGTATCATTTTACTTATTCTGAATTAGGACTAGCACGGAGGTGTATGATTCAGGCATATCTTACTTTTTCTTGAGCTTTAATCAGGTACGTAAGGAAAAGTCTGCTTTTATATAGCATCTATTCCTACGCAAATCAATAAAATTGGTAAAGGCGACTTAGCTATTAATTAGTCGGGGGCGAAGTATTTCAAGGTCACGTATGAAATTAATTAAAATCAGTTTTATTGAACCAAAGACAGTTGGTAAGAAAAAGTCCACGTACTTATCAGTAAATTACCAGATTTTCATTATATGGCTGGAAATGCTTACCACAAGCTCTAATAAAATATTTTCAACGACGCTATCAATACTAGCTTTTCAGCTAAATCCATCAAAAAAGGTGCAGACCAGAAACGGGAACTAGTGCTAAATTTATCGTAGATTGCAATTCGGAAATTTGAATTTCGACTATGGTTCGAATTTATGAAAAATTATATCAGGTTTGTATTTAATTGCAACCATACTCATTTAACAAAAGGTCCACGGCAAACGGGCATGCAGCTCACCTGATTACCTTTATATATTACTATATAGTCTACAGTGATGGTAAGTGACTACCACCGTCCAAGAAAAACTGCAACACCAGGCGAAATTGCAGGTGGCCGGCCTTTTAAAAAAAGGCTCTACTTGAAGGTCCCTATATATATATATATATATATATATCAGTATCGGTCTGAACAAAGTCTGGTGGTAGCCAATTCCACAAAAAAGTTTTGTGAGGAAAACTTCTGATAAATCGCAGAGTAGAGTAGTGAATCGCAAAGCATCCAGATGAGATAATAATAACTCATCATGTTAATATAATATATACAGCCAGTGTGGTGCCTTTATTAAGTTAGATTAAACATTTGCTGAATATGGAACACGTCCATACGTGTTCCATTTAGATTTGCCATATGTCATTTAGTGAAGATGATTGATTAGCAGGTTGTTGATTGGCGAGCGGATCATCAATCTGTGAAATTTGGATTTAAACCGTTGAGCACGTGGTAAAGCAGCACTCACATTTGCTTACATTAAATTTAATGGCGAGCGCTTAACAAAGTGTAGAGGGAAATGACAATAATTATAGATATTTAATTGACAATTAAATAATGCCACTATTATTTATTTCTCACTCCGAGATTAGGAAACAAGTTATATTGTGATGTGCTTATTAAATGGACTCTACAATAAACTAATGGAATATTATCGAACGCGGACTAAAATTAGCAGTATACAATTACTCGTAAAATGTGTTCAGTAAAAAAATTGCCACGGTTATTAGCTAAAATACCTAATCCACAACTTTAAATTTTGCACTTTCATTGGCATTTATTCTTACTTACAAAGAGTCAATTAAATATAAAAGTAAAATACGTAATTTTTTGACCATATAATTTGTATTTTTACTACAAATGCCCAAAATATTGAATGTTTATAATATATTAAAAGGCTTCTGTCATGGAACTTTGTATTAACTTGGTGTTAACGTTATCCCTTGCGAATAGCAAGCTAACACTAGTGAACAACATAATAATATATAAAAAAAAAATCTAAATGTTTTAAAGCACTTACTTTGTAATGTAAAAAAATATCAGTTATAAAAAAATCTTAAATTTGACTATGAGCTATAACGATCCTATTGAGAATACTATGTTATAGTATGTAATATATATGTGTTGTAATGTCATCGGTTCTTATGTCTGCAAAATTTTATAAAATTCAGATGAAAGTGGGTGAAACTGAATTATAAAAAAAATAAGATATACTAAGCAATGTGGAGAATCAAAAAGTGTCTAAGGCACTTTGCACCCGCACGTCAAAGCTTAGGGCGGGATACAAAGGTTATATGAACTTTACCATGAAAGGTCATATAACCCTAGCGTCGAATTTAGAGAATATGTAAAAATATATTCAAAAATATTTAAAAGTGTGTGCTCCACAGCCAAGTCTTTGCATTTGAACAACAAAATTAAGACGGCTTCTAATAAAATTAAAATGACGTGGAGTATCATTAATAGTGAAACTGGTAAGGTCAACTCTCGCAATTCGAACTACCGGTTAAGTTTTAACAACAAATTAACTGAATCAGATCAGGATGTTGCAATGGTTTTTGAGAAATATTTTACTGATATTCCGATCTTAACCACTGAGTCACTGAATTCTTCTCCTGCTGTCGCCGAATCATTACTTAAACAAAACGGACGAAAGGCACGGGTTTCCTTGGACGTGTTTAAGGAGACGCGAGGCTTACCAATTTGATAGAGAAAAAAGGAACAATTAGATAAGAAGGAAACGTTCAAGTTATTCCTATTGTTAAAGTGCAGTATTACCATTTCATAGGGCAACAATTCATTTCAATAGTACGTACTGAAACAAAAAGTATTCGGTGAAGAATTTCGAATTTTGGTGAAATGTTTAAAATAGCATACGTGCCACGGAATGTTAGCTTAACACCCATATCGTAAATAACATTGATATCATATCATAATAAATAATACAGTACAAGCCTACAAATACATATATTTGATCTGAGCGAATTTGGTCCAGTACTCTTTCATTTCATTGTCATAAATAACGCAATAAACAACTATATAAATAATGGTAATAGGATATTTAACAATTTAATTTATATTTGTTGTATTATAGTAAAACACTTTATAATATAAATAATTATAATAATTGAAAATAAGCAACATTAGCAAGTAATTAGAAAATGACTAGACAATCATAAATAAGTTAATCAAGATTACTTAAGACATAGCTTGATATTTTCATTAAACACAACATGTATAAAAACAAAAGTCTCTATACAAACAAACAAATATTCTCCCTTATTTGTATACTATTTTAAGAAATTGCAAAATTTCACTCAAGACATTTTGTACATTAAATGTTATGATATAAATTATAGCTGTGATTGTTGTAATTTGATAAAACTTCAGCTTCAGGGAACACCCTGATGATGCCGTAAGGCGATACCGGTCGGCTTTTATAGTTAGTAAAATAATAATAATAATAATTTAAAATAAATATTATGAACCTAGATTCACAAGTGTGTCTACAAGAGTTTATCCAAATCACAAAAATAAATGTATCATAACATAAGGCATTAATTATTTTTTTAAACTTATTACAAAGAGTATTGTGTATGATATTAGTTTATATAAGTACTTTCCTTTATGACAAATATTGAAGAAAAAAATATTTAAATTAAATTACAAGTTTAATGAAAATAGAAGAGAGAAGAAAAGCTATTATATTAATTCAAAAAACTCGGAAACGCAAGTTATAGGGTACAATGAGTAAACATCCAAAAAAAGTATTTTAAACCTTTTTAGATTTCAATAACCATGGACGAATACGTGAAATATATAAATATATAAAAAAGCGAAAGCATCTTCGTGATTAATATTAAAATATATTAAATAATATTGTGACGTTTTTCATATGTTTTATTACAGAATGACTAGTCATAAATGCCATGGCACCGCTTTGCACTGAGTTTGCGTTAAATTATCAAACAAATAAACGTGTTAACGAGTAAAAAAAATAAATGGAATCACTTATCTCTATGATTGGAATACAAAATTATCTATGTAAATTGAATGGAATGCCAAGTTTATATAAATGCGCACATTATCGTTAAGATTAACGTGAGTTGTTCAAAATAATATGTATATTTTATGTTGAGTATCTTTTCAGTTTTCTATTTTTTAACTAAAACAAAAACAATTGATCAATATAAATACAAACTGTCTTATTACGTTGTGTACTTTGTAAGGTTAAGATATTAATTTAACATATTTGCAGCAGCAACTTAAGATATTATTCTTTTATATTTTTATAAAAATAAAGTTTTTTTTAATAAAGAAAGCAAATATTAAGTAGACAGATCAAACTTAAATCAGTAATTAGTTTATATATTAATTTATATACATATAAGTATAAATATATTATTTTGTATGCACGCAGACATGATTGTAAAAATAAGAAACACATTTTTTTTAAATTTACTTCATATAAATCGCAAAAGAAATATTTAATAAACTTCATAAAGCCGCACTGAAACAAGTCTATAACAATATGTAAATAAAATATTATAGACTCAATATTGTATCAGAAAAAATCGTGCGTAAAATAAGTGTCCAAAGGTAACCTTACTTAAAAAATATTTAATAATTTCTTATTATATTTAAGTCAATAAAATCGATTATAACAAATACTTCGTCCAAAAAATCTCGCGTTACAAATCACTTAAAAATGGGTTAGAATGCATCTAATTATTTTGGCTTGTCAATATTGGCATCATTAGAGGAATTGTTATTTTTTTTTTTGTTTTGTGTAATACATATATACAAATATGGCTTTAAAGATGGCTTCAGCGATTAAATACAAGGGGAATGTTAAGTACTTGTCAATAATTTCAAATGGACAAAGAAAGGCATGTTGCCTAATCATATAAGGCGCTAATCAAATTGACTTTGTTGTAACATTGAATCAATAGATCATTATTATATTCACAATATTATGTTTTTTTTCTTTTAAGAGTATGACTTATATAATTGAAATAGCGACGCATATATTCGAGATATATTTCTGTAAATTAAAATGCAATTACAATTGGAAGTCCTATTGGAGTAGAAAATAATAAATTAACTCTCAGAGTCTATACTCAATAATTGCTCCCAGTCATAATATAGCCCCATACTACTATTGCAATTAATACTGTTAAAACAATTCAGATCTATTATGCATATCAGTTAATTATAAATTTAATTGATAAAAAACATTTGCGTATAATCTAACCTGCAAAAATACAAAACCATCAACAGCTATACAAACCAGAATGCACACGAATGGAAATAATCTGTCATGAAATCAAAAAAGCTCGATTACCTTCCTCTTGACGTACTCTTTGAGCGGTGCGTAGTAGTGATGCCGCAGGGAAATCAGTTCGGGCTTACGTTTGAGAGGGCGAAGGGGTGGCCAGTCGGTCTCGAAGAGGAGGAGGGCAGCGAGTGCGAGGGAAAGCCACACGAAGATGAAGGAGGGCACGAAGGCACGGAGGAGGCTGAAGGGGCGGGGCGGCGGCTGAAGCGCGGGCCGAGCCCAATCGTCATTGTGCGTTCCTTGAGTGCCGTGTGTCGCGTGGCTGCCGTGTGACGCATGCGTGCCGTGTGTCACGTGCGTCGTAGCCGCAGACTCCGTCGACGAGTGTTCGAACAGGTCCCTCGCGCTGTACTCTGGACAGGTGACTGGAATGTTATGACAATAGTCAATATACGTACATTTTCGCGTAAAGATGGTTACTAATTCCTGTAATATTTTGGCCAACCTAAAAAATGTAGGTTATACAAATTGACGCGATATCTCTAAAATGAGTAAAAACCGATTTAGAGGATATTTTATTTAACGAGTGTATACAAATGTGTTCACAATTGTTACGGCCCGCAGCTGCCCCTGTAAAGTCGTCTTGGCTGGGGCCCATAGCAGCTTCCTCGACGGGCAGACGCGGGTCGGGCCCAATGGCCATATGGAAGAATGTCCTATCATACTAAACTATATGGGAGAATGCTACGAAAATATAGTACGTACCTGTTTCAGACTCTAAGATCGCCCCAAGGCTCGGTCAGGCCGTAAGTGGGTGTAAGGTGCATGGCAAGTAGTGTTTAGTGATGTGTATGTGTCTGAGACCTGGACCAGCTTAGGTGACCAGCAGCGGCCGAGTTCCAGGCTGCCCCACAATGCTGCATCGATCCAGCAGGCTCCATCGCTGGACCAGTTCTTTCTTCATTGTCACTATTTCAGTCTCTTAGCTTCATTGTACATTTAACTAACTTAAACACGCCTAATTCCACATTCATCGTAGAATCGAACACGTGATACCCGACACAGTACGGACAGTAGTTCAAAGTTCGACAATGTCTCGGATTCATTTATCACAAAATTATAAATAGGGAACTAACGCGATCTCTTCATGAGTCACACGGTTCAGCGTTAAAGACAACTAAGTTCCTTCGTTCGATACCAAGCCAGCACGCCACGATAAGAATTCAAAATACGCCTCGTTGACACGTAAAACTAACAAACCAGCCAACACACAAAAAAGGGCACTTAACGCGACGGCACAATTATAATGATTTCCAGACAATCAACCGGGAGACGCTCTCGAACAAGGAATGCGCGGTTCGAATCCTAGACCGTACATTTACTCGGCGCGCGCGTGCGAAATTCCGCATCACCCGAGCAAGTTAAATATTGCAAAATTCACATATCCACGTAGCGAAGTAACACGCACTAAATCTAACCATCTGGAACCTAAATCGGTCGCGTGAACTTCTGCCGCGATAACCGAGATACGCGGATTCACCGCATCGCGGCAAGCGAGCTACCGTCTCTTCGCCCCCGCGTCGAGCCACTGCAAGCCGCACACAGCCACCCCACCTGGCGGCGTTTACCTCACCTACATACCATCGGGTGACGCGCCAGCTCGAACGCGATTGGATGGCGTTCAAAATGACCCATTTTGGGTATAAACAACAGTAATATTATCCATTATTCAGCCCGATCCGATAGTAAGTGCAGCCAGTTTAAATTTATTTTTAAATAATCTCAACTACTACTTATAGTACAGTGTAGCGATGTGGACGTGCTGAGAATTGAACCTCGTAATGACGATATTAGAATACCCACTACCTCATATCACATCCTGCCGTGGGTGTCGTAAGAGGCGACAGAAGCAGGCACTCACTCTTCCTACCTGTGGGATGTAAATACTTACAATCGCGCGAAACCTCAGGTTAAATACGCAGTCAGGGCTAGGGTGTTTTAGGGTAAATTACTTAAATTATTAACAAATATCAATTTTATTAGTCCGAAACCATATTTTTTGCTATCAGTATTTACTTAAATTATCAGATTTAGAGATGTTTTCCATTCTTAAATTTAATAACTGTTATTTTAGAGACAACTAACCAATCGCTCCATAACTCTCCCAGAAAGGAGACCAGGCCTGTGCCTAGCGGTGGAACATATATATAGTGCAACTTTACTTTTTAACTGTTGTCGTCACTTGACACTCAAGCAGTACTACGCGTTACCTGCGGGTTTATCGCAACACGAGAGCGCGATATCTACGGCGGGCCCGCTCAGCAAACAGCCGCCGTCACACACTTCATTCTCCGGGACCCCAGAACCACTTTCCTCCAGCGGTGCGCTGTGCGTGGATCGCGGTAGACTGCTGTATCCTGAAATATTTATACACGTGTACGATAAACACGTATCCGACTTTAATCTTGAAAACAACTTTTCTAAAACTAATAACTTGCCAGTTTGTTCACTTTTTGATTATCTAAGAACTTTTAGTGTCACTCGTATTTCCGTGTCTCCTTATCTAATATACTGATTTTCTGCTCAAGTGTAGATACTTTGGCTATTTGAGTATTTGCTTCATAATTGTTATTAGTCTTTCGTCTAATGCTTCCATAACGCATTTTGTCACTGACGCAGTAATTAGTTTGTTCCTTTAATTTCTCGTTTATTTTTGATAAAAACAACACGGAGTTGTTGCTTTCCTTTTTTTGGGTAATTTTTTTGTTGAGGACACACTAGTTTGTTTATGGTAGTACTATAGCCGTCAGTGCATAGAGTATAGAGTAGAAAGAGGACCATCTCTGGCATTTTACTAACTACTCTAGTCATGAAAATTTTTAAATATTTGAATTCAGCTGACTTCACTCCGTCTACAACAGCTTTATTCATATCGTAGTTTTTCAGAAGCCAGCGCTATTGTAGTAGGTTTTGGAACCTCTATTTTCAGTATACAGTTGAACACTTTTCAACTTTCCCCCCATATAAGATGGTTCTTCTACTCTATACTCCGTGCGTCAGTGTCAAAGAGGCGTCACTTGTCTTCTGGCACTTGATACTTTGTCGAGTAGGTTGGTTGCACTGCTAATTGATGGGAACCGCACTTTTATGTTATGTAGTTGGATGTAAATTATTACAGTTTTTAGGGAAAGCAAACGTATTTTGCACTTTAGTTTTTATTGACTTATTTAGAGGATATTGTCGAGACACCTTTAAAATACACTGTTTGCACAAGTATTAATTATTATTTACGGAGGACGTTGACGTATGTATTCACTGTAAGACCGCATCGCATTTTAATTCTTGATCGAGGATAAATGTAGATGTCTCATGCCAAAGCATCCACTTTCCATTAGGTGGATTGTGTGCTTGTTTGTCACCCTTATTCTATTAAAAAAATATTTATGACACCCGAGTCTCGATTCAATTTTGCCAGTTTCAATTAAATTTTCAAGTGCTCATTTTATTTGGAAGCTGTTGTAAACTATGCATCTAAATCAAATTAGTGTATGTCTGTAATATCTAAATAACCAGCTCCTATTAAGCTCAGGGGGACGGAGAGCACCTTTAAATCTGCGAGACCTCTGCTACTAAGCATGACGATTAAAGCAAATCATATAAAAGGACACAAAATAATATAAAAGGATATACCCATAGTGAGCTGAAGATTTTTGCGGGTTGATGAAGATATACAAGATAGTATACCGTTTAACATTGGATGACATGAGGTTTTTTTAAATTTTTTCATAGCAGACTTACGACATAAATGGCGTGCTGGAAATTTTTGTACGGCCATCACACAAAAGAGACTTAGGGCGATTCAACCAACCCTCTATTTATACACGACTAACTGATACCCGCGACTGCGTCCGCATTGCTTGATATATTAACAAAGTTATTCGCAAGTAAAAGCATACTTTGCTTACAAAATTTCTTTGTAAACAATGTTATTCGTTGCATATAATGTTCACTGAACACGTAGTGTTTATAAAAATCGTTTTCTTAAAACTTTAATTACTTTATATTCAATGAAGTTATCGCAATATTTTTTTTTAGATAAGGGCCAAGTGTTTAAGAAATAAAACTTAGAAAACTTAATTGAAATCTATCCAGTAGTTTTTACGTGATGCGCGCACAACTGCAAACCTCTATCATTTTATTTATATAGATTAATTAACTATATATGTAATTCTTGCAATTCACGAAGTTGAGGGGGCTTTACTCGTAGGACATGCACATGGCGATAGTGTGCGTGCTGACGGAGCGATCAGAGTGCCTAGTTTGAGTTCCACAAAATTATTCAAATGACTTCACCATCACGTTAACAGAGTTAACGTCATCGATAAGCGAAGACAAGCGACTGTGAGTTACTGAGTTACAATCAAAACTAAGCCTTCGATCCGCATTTACCGTGAATGGCGTTCGTTCTTTAGAGATAACTAACCAAATTTAGAACGATATTTTTATTTAGTGGTCTTTATATCAATAGGCGTCTATCAAAGTTGTGGTTATTATAGCAATCTTTTGTAATGAGGGCCGCTCACCAGATGTCGCTAGTGTACACTGAGGTAAAGTTTTTTGTTACATAATACCATTTAATTGAGAAGTTAATAAAAGTTTATCAGTTTCTAAAGTATTATATACTTATATATATATATATATAATATATATATATATATATATATATATATATTATATATTATATACTTATATATATATATATATACACAAAAAATGCCTCAGTGGTTTGCTCTATAATTTTTGCACATTTTTACCATCTCATATACCATCGTATAGCTCAATACCAGCCCGATACGCTTATATTAGTATAACTGCCTCCTGTCACTGGTTTGTGAAATTCATATATTTTCTGCACTCGAATACAACCTCTCGTGGTCTTATATCACACTAGACGAAGTGACTTGCTTCTTATTGGTCACAAGGGATTACGACTTCAACCGCTTTTTCCCGTCTATCGCTCATTAATATTTAAATATCTTTGGAAATTTATATTTACCAGTTTTAGTAGTGTCCTAAAAATTTCGTAATGTTTTTATTTTAAATTAGGTAGATTTTTAGTTATGTATTATACAATAAGTTGATAATTTAAACTATAAAAACTAAACGTCATTACACTATATTGGCATACAATGACTATAGTGACAACTCTTAAAAACTATTTCATTTTTTTTTTTATAAATTAATTAAACAATTATATTACTAACACAAACTGTCGTAAGATAAGCAATGAGGGCTTCCACGACTGTTTCTGCCACCAGAGCAGCGCCACTCATAAATGAGGTGTAATATTTGACAGGTGGGTGGGACAGTGGGGAAATTAATTTGTTTGAAAAATGTAAAGGTTAATGTTTTTTTTCTGTACTATTAGATATATTTTATAATAATTAGATTAAAAATAAATAAACCAAACCACACATATTCCTTAAAGTAGAAAAATTGAAAAAGGAGCTAAAAATGTGCAAAAATTAAAAACAAACCACGAGGCATTGTTTTGTGTGTTATAATATAATAATCTAGAAACTGATAAACTTTAATTTGAAACTTTTCAAATAGATGACATTGTGTAACAAAAAAAACTTTACCTCAGTGCAACTAGCGACATCTTGTTAGCGGTTAGATTAGCCCCCATTGAGTTGTGCAAAATACCCGATTATTTATCCTCAAATAAGCAGAATGCTGTGTGTTCGTTCATTACAGCCTAACAAAAATCCAAAACTGAACATAATCCTGCTATATCGATTGTCTCGTATTAGATATTTGCAAAAGTAATTAATTATCCAATATGAGCTCTTATTAGGAAGACGCTGTCGCCCATCTTCTGTTTCAGTTTCCTTCTATCGCTTCTTAAGACACCCACAGAATGATGTGGCAATCATGAAGCTAATACAAAGGGGAGACGGCATAAGCAACTGTGCACTGTGATTCTAAGTAGGCCCTGACGTCATCATAGTGGGCGTGGCTTTAGTTAGTATACTGTCAGCATTGGTCCAGTGCGCTTATGTGTTGAAAAAATCGCAAATCGGTGTATTTTCGTAGTATTAAGAAGAAAAGGATGAAGTGTTGTGTTTTATTGTGTAAAAACTACTCAGATAGATGCTCTGATGTTATGGATGGCATCACATTTCATTTGTAAATAATTGTACACCTAATTTATTAAAATAGTTCTAGAAAATCTCTTTGCGTCGGCTTTCAAATATAATTAAATATATTCGACACTAGATGGCGACACTTTGTGTCATGTGAACTAAAAATATAAAAATCCGTAGAGCTCAGTATTGGTAAAATAATCATACGAAGGTGCTGAAATTTGTTTTGCATTCAGACATAAAGAAATTTTAATCGCAAAATATTATTTTTATAGTTTATAATCATTTTGAGAACAGGCCGTATTCTCGTGAAGTAAACCTCATAAAAATGACAAAAAGACAGGGCCCTAATTAGAATTCAATAATATTTCCCAGAAATCCAACTTTTAATATTAAATGCAGGAAATTGTACTTATGCTGATTTTTACGAAATGTTTAAGTTATATTTAAGTGACATTCTATATGCAAAGAATCACTTAAATACAATTTAATGTTCTTAGATTGGCATTCAAAAAGTGCATTCGGATGCCTAATTTGGAATAAAATATTTATATTTTAATTGATTTGTAAATTTGTCTATTATTTGTTCTCCCTCAGAGATATTAAGTAGTATAACCCACACATAAATAATAGTGCAGCCGTTTCTGCGTGAAAAAATTACACATACTTAGTGTGGAATAAGCTCAAGGAGACAGAAAGAACACACAAAATTTCGCCTTTATAATATTAGTGAGATAAATAGGATATTTAGTTCCAAATTAAATATTCTACTTAATATTGAACATAGAATATTTAGTTTCAAAGAGACTTTATTTTATGGAAAAAAAAATATTTCTTAAAGGTTGACTTTCACGAAATGATAAACATATTTAAATTGTATTTAAATGATTCTTTGCATATAGAATGTCACTTAAATAAAACTTAAACATTTCGTAAAAATCAGCCAAGTACAATTTCCTTCATGTTAATATTGAATGTTGGGTTACTGGGTAAAATAATTTAATTCTAATTGCGGCCCTGTCTTTTTGTTATTTTTTATGAGGTTTACTTGACGATAGATGGCGGCCTGTTTCTAAAATTATTATGAATACTATAAAAATATTATTTTGGCGATTAAAATTTCTTTGTCTGAATGTATTTGCTTCATGAGATAGACGCTCCGATGCTATGGATGGCATCACATTTCATTTGTAAGTAATTTTACACCTAATTTATTTAAATAGTTCTAGAATAATCTCTGCGTCAGCTTTCAAATATAATTAAATATATTCCACACTAGATGGCGACACTTTGTGTCCTGTGAACTAAAAATATAAAGGTACGTAGAGCTCAGTAATGATGAAATAATCATACGAAGGTGCTGAAATTTGTTTTGCATTCAGACATAAAGAAATTTTAATCGCCAATATATTGTTTTTATAGTTTATAACATTTTGTGGACATGCCGCCATCTACCGTCGAGGTAGCTAAGTTACATTGCAACATCGATATGGAAAGATTCGAGTAGTTTTACTATTTATCGATAGATGTAGATAATGTAATGTGGGCGGGGCCTTGCATCCCCTCACCCCGCAAATTGTCACGCGTTGTTACATAGTGAAATTTAATTACAACGTCTCCTCTTTGTATTTGCTTCATGGTGGCAATAGATTATCTAACGCCGCCACGTCTTGGTAACACTACGTGCAGATTAATTATTTGTCTTATAAGAACAGTGACCATCTTACACCCATAAATTTCACCTTCCTAATATCTATGTTTATTACCAAAATCGCCAGTCATTGGTGTTGACGGCGTAGCGGGTACACTCGACGCTTTCCTTTTTCCACCTGCACTAGGCCCATTATCCTGTAAACATAAAAAGTCAAATATAGATATGCCTCACAAATACATAAGTCACATATATATTAAATTGAAGTGTGTGTCTGTAATAAAGAAATAACTAGCTTCTTATATGTAATTTTTTTTCTGACTAATCTTCGAAAAGGCTGAACCGATTGCGATGAAACTTCACGAACAGATAGAGAGCAATACCAGGAATGTTCTAGACTACATTTCTCCAAAAGAATAGAGGAGAGCGTGGTCCTTCCACGGTCGAGCCGATGCATTTGTGCCAACCATAATATAGCTGTAGCGTGTTTCTACCACTTAAAACCCTTCACACCAGAACACGGCAGTGCACATACTGCACTATATAGTGCACTAACTCTTTGGCGGCAGAAATAGGTAAGACCAAGGTATAGGCAGTAATAGGTAAGAGTCAAGTTCGTCTGGTACCAACCCAGGCGGATTTGATTCTTATGCATATAAGGAGCCTTACCACCTAGTAAAATTTGTTATACCGTTACCGTTACAGGCTATTGAAGTCCACTGCTGAACATAGGTCTCTCCCACAGATTGCCTCATAGTGGCGTTTTTGGCAAATCATAACATCGTCAACACGGCTGCATAGTGCATACAGATTATTAAGCCCCAGATCGAAATTCACAGTGGGGCCAAGAAAAAACCTGTTATTAAGTTTATTCTGTCAAGAAATTCTCAGTAGTAGCTCGAAGCCAAGGAGTTGGCGGTGTTTCACCCCCGTGCTTCGGAAAGCCGTTGCTCGTGCGCTTGATCTCTCTCGTCAGTCGTGTTGGATTACCGTAGCATCCAAGTATGAAAGTTAGGGAATAGAGATAGCAGTTGTGTTTACACATACACTCGAGCATTATAATGCTGTCCTGCGCTATATAAGGGTGACAAACCAGTCAAAAGTCCATCTGATGGTAAGTAAAGTAAACCTTTATTCTCGATTAAGAATCAAAATGCATACATAATGCGTTGCGTTGTCACCCCTGAGGACTAAGATGGAATGCCTCATTTCCTATAAAAAGGGTCTTCGGTTCTCTACACTGTACGAAACACTCACACTGTACTCTGTGAGAGCGTGTTTCTACCCCGGTCGAGCCAACCAATTTGTGCTACAAACATAATATAGTTGTAGTGTAAGCGCGTCCGTTGATGTAAGCCTCAAATAATTCACATCCGCGAGGAAGAATTTTTCACATTGTTCATCCGTAACGTCCGTAGCGTTGATATTACAAAGGAAGCTGTGTGGTGACCTGGTGGTCGCGAGGCGCCAGCAGCCCGTCGCGCTCCAGTATCTCGCGCTCGGTGCGGCCCGCGTACTTGAACTTGGTGCCCCACGAAAACAACCCGCCGCCCGAGTACACGCACGCGTCCGACGAGCACGGCAGCCTGCAATATGTCATAACAACTATGTTATTAACAGGCTTCCAAAAAAAGAGTTAACAATTATTCAATTTGTTTTTTTTTTTTGTATCTTCGTCAAGTGTAAAAATAAGTTATACTTCAGAGGTAATTCCATATTATAAATTTGAAGAAAACATTCCACACCTAAGGGAGACAAACCAAGGAATGACGTTTTTAATTTAACTATTTGAGATGACATTATGATTGTGATATTTTTTAGTCCACAGTCCACCCAAAAAAATTATTTTAATAAAAAATAAAAACCGAGACACATTTTTAGTCATTTGAAGTCGTCTTCTACTTTCCATTAAAAGTTAATTTTAACAAACAGAAATAAATTCCTTTAGGATACAAAGAATACACTTTTGCAACAAAATCTCTGAAAACATTCAATGCTTTTCAAACCAACAAGTCCCAGGTTCTAAACAAGAAAACATCCCAGGTTCCAATGAAGATTTCATTCCAGATTCTTCACTAAAAGTGATTGTAAGTTTAAGCATTAATTTACAACGGTTTGGCTTAATTCTGGATAAAAAAGAGCTCCAGATGAGAGTCCAAAAAGTCAGACATAATATCTGTCAAACTTCGCTCACGAATAGTTTACATTCAGCATTTATTTTAAATAATACCGATTGAAAGTCATTTGTTACCTTTTACCCAGGGGTACACTTCCATACTTTAGGTAGTAGTCCAATAATCTGCAAAGACACTAGTGCCATCTTATACAATATCCGCATAAACATTCAAACATCAAATTCTAAAAGGTCCCAATAGATGGCGATTACACCAATTCTGGTTATTGGGTATGGAATTTAATGGAATTGTCTAAAGTTGTAACATAAATATAAAGGATTAATAATTATAAGGACATTCAAAACCCTAATTAAAAAATATATTGCGAAAAATATTTTTTGTCGGTCTGAGATGCAATAAGTTTCTCGATTTGGCAAGTGGCAACTTTATTGCTTTATCACATAATAGCTACCGGCGTGTGAGCATGTCATTGTTTTCACGAACGCTTTTGCCATTTATGTGATTTTCGGTTGTTGCTACAATAACTTTGGTGGAGTTGAGGTTAGCCCACCCGTCTTATTGTTGAGTTTTTCATGTAAATGTTTAAATGACTGAAATCTATAATACATCTTTAATAGAGTCCTAATTCCTTGAAATATAAATGTAACTGCCTATAGTATAGATAGCTGTATATGCATAACTCTACAACATACAACTATCTATAGTCAAAATATTGATATTAGTTCAATGGACATGATACCAGATGTCGACACTGTGCCACTATCCATATTGGGTGACAAAAATCCTAGAAGATGGCTCTCTATTCCGGTATATATATATTACTCTACTCTATGCTTTTCCCACTTGCTTTGGAAAAAACCTTCGTCCTGGGAAGGGCCAGAAGACGACACCCAGCAAAACTATAATTGAAATTAAACAATATAAACTTTTTACTTACGTAAAAAATAACATTTGCTCTATCGCGCAGCACCATACGTGCCGGCATGAGGCCCCACTCGGACATTTGAAACCTACTGTGTGCTTTTTCTGTAAAAAAAAAAAAATAATCTGTAAAAATCCAGTACTCTTTGGAATCGACGTTAAATGACTCCATTGAAAAGACGGAATACACTAACGACGAAATATTTACCTTTACAGATTATTAAAGTCCACCGGTGAACATAGGCCTTCCCCATAGATTGCCTCATAAATAGGATATTTGCCATAGTTGAGACGCTTGGCAAACAGTTTAGCAACCGCAGTTTTTTTTTTATTTTAGTCGTTATTGGGAAGACGCTGCTGCCCATCTCCTGATTTGTTTCCCTCTGTCGTATCTTTACGACACCCACGGGATGATATGGGGTACTGGAAATTCTTACACATCGACTACACGGTAAATATGAATTTAATTTGAAGCTAATTTACTGAACTCGACTCTGTTTTATACTATTTAGTGTTTTTCATAGACACTGGTGATAGTGTAAGAGGTTTCGTTTTATGGGTATCGTAAGCATGAAATAAACCAAACCAGAGTTAAACTAAATACCCTACACAACTTATTTCGTCCTAATCGCCATGGTTAACACGATTGTTGTATGATCGTTATTTTGTCATACACGCAACGTGGCAAGGTATAATCCTCACATTTTATTTTGTCAATATTTAGCATACTCGTAATAAGGAAAGCACTGGTGACAACACACAATTCTACACACACATATATATATTATATATTAGTGATTTGTTCCGGCTTCGCACGGGTGATTTCATGAACTCAGATCTCGACAACAACTCCACCTACTGAGTCCAGATGTGAATCTAAACCATCCAGGGACCCATTCAAACACACACAAAAAAATATCATCAAAATCGGTCGAGCCGTTTTTGAGTTTTAGTGAGACTAACAAACAGCAATTGATTTTCTACCGACTTCAAAAAGGAGGTGGTACTCAATTCGACTGTATGTGTTTTTCATTTTATGTATGTTACCTCATAACTTTTTCTGGGTGAACCTTTTTTATTTGAAAGCTGGTGTTTCTCATGTGGTCCCATATAAATTTGATCAAGGTCTCACCTAATAGTTTTTGAGTTATTCTTAATAATTTATATTGAAGTCGGTTTTACAAAATCTTATATATAAAATTATTATATTTATAGAGATTTTAGTTAGATGTAAAAAAATAAAATACAATACGAGTCTTTCATAATGTGTATAGCAAAGGAATAGAATAATTTGGTGGTCTTCCTTTCCATCCAGTTACAATCTGGGAGTCTTTAAAGCTAGAGTGAAGAGGCTTTGATTGGGTTAAAGCAGTGTGATTTAAGCTTATTTTTACAGTAAAAGGGTGACAAACAAGCACACAGTACATACACCTGACGTAAGTGGTTGCTGTGGTCCGTAAACTCCTACATCAACCATCAATTAAAAACCAAAATATAGATGTGTTAGGGGTAATAACACATCTATATTTTATATTTAGATAGAATAACTTGTTGGCAGTAAAAAAAGGTCTCCGGTTCTCCAAACACACCATACGAAACACAGGCAGTAAAAGCTACTATTTTACGCTTGTGTTCTGTGAAAATCCCTGGTCGAGTCGACCCATTCTTGTTACACTCATATGACTACAGGGAACTCTATTACGGCAATATAATAAATATACGAGATAGTGATATCACTATCTATTTAGAAGTCATATGGGTTTTCTGTCTTTGCTCATAGCTGCCTCTTATAACACTCACAGGTCGACGTGAATTAATTTTTTTTTAAATACTAGTAATGTTATAAATATTACTAATATTCCCTTTAACCACTTCTGGTAAGCTTAAAATGCTTGTGTTAGAAGTGGTTCACGACAGTAGTCGAATGGCGGATTCGAACCCACAACTTTTCGAGTTCGCGGTCCGCGCCCTGCCATTAGGCTACTGACGCTTCAAAATTCGAAAATTCGAATTAAAAATTATCTAATTTTCATTGCTATCACACAGCAAAATTTATCATATTCCACCATCGATCACTAAGAAAAAACTAGATACACAATCAGTGACAAAAAATGTCCTTACCGAATGAGCACCCACTCGAACATTTGGGTGCGCTTTTAATTTGTACGTAGCTTTGTGAATACAACTTTAGGCAAGGCATTTAAGGTTGAATTTACATTAATATATATTTATTTCAACTAGAATTACGTCAAAACAATTGGCAAGTTTTTAGAGAACTTTGCATGGAGTTGTGTATCTAGTTTTTTTATTAGTTATCGATGCATTCCACTTACTTCTGGATAGTTGAGATGCACAATAAACATTCGTCCCTCAAAATTGATCTTTTGCACTTCGGACCACTTGAAGTGGTTTGTTTTCCGACTGCCTTGGAATGTAAGTATGCCACCGTGATTAATGCCTAGATATAATTGATTTCCTCTGTGGTCCTGCAAATAAAGAAGCCTTGTAGTTCTGGATATTCATCTGAATAAGAATAATAAAATGATATTATGTATTTCCCACTTTTATATATCCATACAAAAAAAACTGAGTTAGGTTGACATAATTTAGAATAAATGGCACCTTAGGTATTTTTTTTTTTATAGAATAAGGGTGTCAAAAGAGCACACAGTCCACCTGATGGTAAGTGGTTACTGTGGCCCATAGACATCTACATCTATCCTCGATTACAAATTAAAATGCAGATGCGTTGTCAGCCATGAGGACTAAGATAGAATGCCTCTTTTCCAGTAAAATGGGTCTCCAGTTCTCTACACTCACCATACGAAACACAGCAGCATTAAGCTAGTAAGTAATTTTACGCTGGTATTCAAATGCACTCGACTCTCTAAAATAGATATGAATATTTTTTTTATTGATCTGTTACATAAATACTATCAGTTTCCTAAACAATAGTATTAATAGTAAAGATACAATTAATATACAACCCACTGCTGGGCACAGACCTACCCTCATTCCTGAGAGGGTATTAGGGCAAGGAAGCGTCCTCCACGCTGCCTCACTGCGTGTTAGCGAACTTCGAAATATTTTTTAGTTTCTTAGACATGTAGGTTCCTTTATGATGTGTTCCTTCACCGACGGTGCATCATGCGACGGAGCATGTGGTAAATCAGCACTTAAAATTGTTATTATCAATGTCATTGGTGCCCGCGGGGTTCGAACCCGCTTTACTCGCGCACTGTGAAATTTACACCGAGCATTTAGCCTCTGAGCTACCACAGTCCAAGACAACAACCAAGACCACATAGTACTAAATTTCAGAAATTAAGTAAGACAATGATACCAGGCCAAATACGCAAATCCAAAATATGAAGTTTATAAGTATACTAAGCCTACCACAAAAGAGTTTCGGATAAGAATCTTTCGAAATTCGGTATTTAGCAATTTTTCTTTCGTTGACGCTAGTCCGAAATACAATTTGGCGTTTAGTTTTACGTTGTTTCATTCCTTGTCATAAATTAACTTTTTCGAAATCGTTAGTTAAAACGAATTCTTGAATCAGTCTTAATAGTTTTAAACTTTCCTTAATTGAAACCTCAAGAATTGAAGATATTATTAAAAAATAAATAATTAAAATTGACTCCATAAGATAATAATGAAATACTACGTCGATTTCCAATACCTGTTGATAGTATAAAGAATTCACATAATTTTTACCTCTACATATATATAAATATATAACATTCTAATTTTAATGTTCGGATTCCATGACATAGTACGCTACAAGAAAGCAATGAGGCGAAAAATGGATAGAAATTTCTTAAAATTCCCAAAAACGTGGAGAAGTGAATTTTACAAATTAGATGTTTGTTTCTGTACATCACATAACTCTTTTACAGTATTTTTGAAGAAATACATACCAACTGGCATACATAGGCTGCACTAAAAGTATCGGGAATGGAATATTTCCACTGTTCCTGTCATATTAAAATCTTTTTAATTGAAAAGTCCTTGGTTTTAAATATCGAATACCATTTATTTATTTATTTAAAAAAAGATTCTCGGTCTTGTCACAAGGTTTTGTCAAACTTGTTTAGTCGTTGAGAAAATGGAATTGACTCCAGAAAATTCAAGAGCGATGATTTATTATGACTTTCGAAGTGGTGAAGTTAACACAAAAACAGTGTGTTGCCCGGATGATTTCTGCATTTGGTGATGAAGCCTCATCCAAAATCACAATTTATCGCTGGTTTGCTGAATTTCAACGTGGACGTGTCAAGCTCAGTGATGATCCCCGTCAAGGTCGTCCAAAAACTGCAGTCATCCAAGAAAACGTTGATGCTGTGCGTAAGCTGATTGAGGAAGATCGACATGTGACATACCGCGAAATTCAGGCAACTTTAGACATTGGCATGAGTCAAATACAAATAATCTTGCATGAACAATTAGGTGTAAAAAAGTTGTTTTCCCGATGGATACCGCATTCGCTCTGTGAAGAGCAAAAAGCGGCTCGCGTTACTTGGTGCGTCAGAACTCTCGAAAGATTCAACGCAGGATCCTCAAATGCTGTATACAACATCGTATCAGGTGACGAATCCTGGATATACGCGTACGAACCCGAAACAAAAAACCAGTCACGAGTTTGGGTGTTCGAAAATGAGTTAAAGCCAACAAAAATTGTTCGTTCACGGAGTGTTGCAAAAAAAATGGTGGCCACGTTTGTCTCCAAAATCGGCCATGTTACGACTATTCCTCTTGAGAGACAAAGAACGGTTAATGCAGAATCGTATGCTAGCATTTGTTTGCCACAGGTCGTCTCCATCACGACAATGCGAGTTCTCACACCGCACACAGAACAAATGAGTTTTTAGAGCAAGAAAACATAGAATTATTAAACCATCCGCCGTACAGCCCCGACCTAAGCCCTAATGATTTCTATACTTTGCCTACAATAAAGAATAAATTGCGTGGAGAGAGATTTTCATCACCTGAAGAAGCTGTGGACGCCTACAAAACGGCCATTTGGGAGACCCCAACTTCCGAATGGAATGGTTGCTTCAATGATTGGTTCCATCGTATGGAAAAATGTGTCAAATTTCGCGGAGAATACTTCGAAAAGCAATAAATACATTTTTAAATAGTAATGTTGTGTCACTTCCTTGATTCCCGAAATTTTCAGTGCCGCCCTCGTAGTATACTTGTCAAAGCTTATGTTAAAAAGAAATTAGGAAGGTATAATAAGGTTTATCATATATTTGTGTATAATATTTATATTTAATGGGATGAATATATAATTCTTAAGTATTCATCTAAATATAAAATTTAAACTTCCAGTTTGATTTATTAATTAAAAACTATTTACAAGAAACAAATTAACGAATTTGCCAATATTCTAAATTTTAAATTATAGTTCAAAATTCAAATCAGAATTATTACCCAAATTCATTTATATCTATATAAATTGTACATAAATCTTTATATTTAAATAAATTGATAGATTTTAAAATATACTTCATTCAATTATATTGTTCTTTTATTAATTTACATTTTAATTATAATTTTACCTCTGGATAACTATAACTCTTTCTTTTTAAGATTTCGAGTTGGTATAGATTTTACATGTATACTATAAAAAAAAAAACAATTCCATTCAATCAACATTGATTATGTATTCATTCGATTGGTTTTCTATAGATAATAAACGATGGTTGTCCTTATTAATCGCATTCGAAGTATTTTCGTGATGTGGTTTAAGTTCTTCGACATTCATAATTACTTCGCTTATATCCGAAACTTTGTACTTCGATCTTCGCAGTAGGGTCCCTGGTCTGGAGTGGTGACTACAAAGTACGAACAAACCTTAACAGGATGAGGGTCGACGCCGTAGGTGTCCAGCTGGCAAGCAATTTTCAAGAAGGTTCTCTCCGCTTCCTGCGTGGAAAGACCTTTCACGCCCCCTGTACCACACGGCGAACCTTCTACTGGCTCTCTATGCAGTTCCTTAAAAAATAAAATTTTGTTTTTTTAAGTTGAATGATTTGATGTAACTGCAACTAATAAAAAATAAACGTTCTCGAGGTCACAGACTCGTACCTGCAAACACTATAAAGCGGCCCACAACCAGGATGGGCTCTTGAAGTAGAAACCTAATCAGACAAGATTAGGTTTCTACTTCAACAGATGTGACTCGATATCATGCTTAGTGATAGCACAGTCTAAGAAAGTTAGACTGTGGTGATACTATGGATGAATTATGATGAGCCATGGGCTTGAACTGACTAAGCAGATATTCACCTATATTAAATTACGCCATGATGAATTACAAGTTAAAAACTGCTGATAACGAATCTTATATTCATCAGTTAATTAAGAGTTTATAGCGGGACATAAGCTTATTCCATATTACGGAGGGTTTGCCTTTTTATTCATACTTGACATATGGATTGGCAGTCTCAGGATTGGTTTCAAGATCTTCCATCATGAATGCTTCTCTTCTATCTGGCAGCCTGACTAGGTTAGTGATACTAAGCCTATCCTCACCTGCCACACAGGAGCAGAAAGTAACCAACGATTTATTTATATTTAAAAATGTTCAAGCATTTATAAAAACTTATCTCCGATATTATGGTATAAACGTAATGGGAAAGTCGGACAAATAACATTTTTTTGCTTATGGTACTGTAATAAACCTATAAGTTGATAGTTTCCGACTATTGCAAAGTTGTCATCGTGTCGAAAGTCCGTACTGGAGTGGAGTGCTTGAAATTTAACATCACACTTTCAAGATTGATTACTATTCCGTTGTGATGTGATTAGACAACAAGACAGAGGAATTCTACTCTTATATTGTGAACAACATTCCGATAAGGCGTTATGTTATTACGCTACGCATTCATGACTGTATTTCCCTCTGAATACAATTTAAGTGTCATTAAGAGACTGTATCGCAACTTACCATCAGGTGGGATCGTCGTCAATCATTGGTTTATAATTTATAAATACGAGGGTGGATTGAAAAGTACTCGGCCTAACCAAGAAAATAAACAAATACTAAATCAGTTATATTTTTATTTTTCTACATAATCACCATCAAGTTCAATACACTTTTGCCACTTCCCCTTCCAAGCATTTAGACCGTTGAAAAAAAATGATTCTTCCTTAGAGTCAAAATATGTGTCTACAGCTGCTTTGACCTCGTCGTTTGTCGAAAATCTTTGACCTCCCAAGTGCTTTTTTAGGTTAGGGAACAGAAAGAAGTCTGATGGTGCCAGATCAGGTGAATACGGCGGATGCGGTAACAGTTCAAAGCCACAGTTGTGAATTTCAGCCATTGACTGTACTGACGTGTGAACACGGGCGTTATCTTGATGAAACAGGACTTTTCTTCTGAGCATTCCTCGACATTTTTCTTTTATTTCCTCTCGTAAACGACGTAGTATGGTGCAGTAGTAATCAGAGTTTATATTCTGACCCCTTTCAAGATAATCAATCATAATCACACCTTTCGAGTCCCAGAATACTGAAGCCATCACCTTATTTGCCGACAAAATCGACTTAGCCTTTTTAGGGGGTGGTGAACCAGGTCTTCTCCACTGTTTTGATTGTTGTTTTGTTTCCGGTGTACAGTAATGAACCCATGTTTCGTCCATAGTAACAAAACGATTCAAAAAATCATCTGCATCGGCTTCAAATAACTCCAAACAGTCGCGTGAAATAGTCAATCGCGTCCTTTTTTGTTCAACTGAACCCACCTCGCAGACACCTTGTGGAAACCCAACTCGTTGACAATGATGTTTTGAGTTCGTTCATAAGAGATGCCTATAATCTCGGCTATCTCTCTAATTTTTAATCTGCGGTCTCCCATTATTAAATCAAGTACTTTTTTAATATTTTCGTCAGTAGTTGACGTCGAGGGCCTTCCAGAGCGGGGTTCATCTTTCACACTCTCTCTACCACGCTTAAATTCTGCTATCCATTTTTTGACGGATGAATATGACAGAGCACAATCGCCTAATGTACTGACCATGTCATCATGGATGGCTTTTGATGATAGCCCCTTCTTATGGAGGTACTTAATGACGGCACGCTGCTCGATTTGCTCCATTCGCGGAAATTATGTCCGATTACTTTGTTAATAAATTTATAAAATCACAACTAATTATCGCACACGTTTCGAACTTCACACAATGAACTAGTCTGAACTGAACTAAATAATGTGGTTAGATTTGATTTTTAGAATTGAATGGATCTGTGTTAGGCCGAGTACTTTTCAATCCACCCTCGAATTACTCTTTTGAGGCCCTGCTTCAAAAAAAAACACTTTCGCGTTTTGAAATAAAAATAACTGATTAGGATGTTCTTAATTAATTTCTCAACTGTGGAAAGCACCAGCGAAACCCCGCATATTGTAATTATAAAAGCGGTTTTCATTAAAGCTGACAAATGACTATTCATTTTAACATAGACATAAGATTTTATCACACTATATGGCCTTTCACATTTAAAATGAAGACTTTATTATTATCGTTAAAAAAGAAGTAAAAATACCTGTATCCGAGCTTCAATCGCGTCTGTTTGTCTCAACAACAGGCGCATTTCTGTGACGTAGTTACCCACGTGGATGTTGGGATCATAATCACCAAGTTCAACTGTAAGAATGAACCATAATGCTTATATTTTATTTTAAATTTTTAAAACAGTCAGAATTCAATAAATAAAAATAAACATGTAACAAAATAAGTTGTGTCTAAACATATTTCATTTAATTAAAAAGTGACAAACGTAATATGCTGTCTTCAAATATGACGAAAGCCGTGGGATACTAACAAATTGGAAAGAGATATCGGACCGACCAACGTAAACAGCGCTATACAAACTGGGGTGTGAGAATTGGTTTTAAGTCAGGCAATGATTCTAATTATTATTATTTTTTTATTATATTGAAATCCGTATGAGGAAGCTCAAGGTCGCTCAGCGAGCTATGGAGAGGGCTATGCTCGGAGTTTCTCTGCGTGATAAACTTAGGAATGAGGATATCCGCAGTAGAACCAGAATAACCGACATAGCCCAACGAATTAGTAAGCTGAAGTGGCAGTGGGCCGGCCATATAGCTCGAAGAACCGACAACCGATGGGGAAGAAAGGTTCTCGAATGGCAGCCTCGTACCGGTAGGCGAAGTGTAGGGCGTCCCCCCACGAGATGGAGTGACGACCTGGTAAGACATGCAGGAAGTCGATGGATGCAGGTGGCTCAGGACCGTGCTTTGTGGCATTCTTTGGGGGAGGCCTATGTTCAGCAGTGGACTTGTGAAGGGCTGTAATGATGATGATGATGATATTGAAATTTGTCAGAACAGATGAAAAATCCATATTGAATAAAAGGCCCCAAATGAAATGATAAATGGAATGGAATCCGATAAATGGAAAAGAGCAGTTATCTTCAAATTTTAACTTTGAAGAATAACTTTAAGCATTACCTTAATGGTGAATACACAAAAGAATCTACAACCTTATATCATAATATCTCAAAAGGTTTAAATATATTTATTGCAGCATTAGCGTTGTAAAGGGCGACTATGGAAAATACATTATGGCAAAGCAGTATAAAAATTATGGCTTCAGGCAGGAACCATCTTGTTCCCGCCAGACGTGAAATAACTAGATCGGTGACGGGCAGCAGCATTAAAGGTGCAAGACATCTGTTCTCATTTACTGATTAGTCTGTGACGATTAATGCTAATCTACCCTGCAATTAAAAACTCATCCCTTCCAGCAGTGGAAATTTACGGACTCATAAAAAATAAATTCAAATTCAAAAAAATGTATTAGACATACATTGTGGACATACTAAACTTACTTTGTATAATGAGGGCACCCAACATAGCAGCTTCATTCGAGGTGCAGTAGAGACGTCCATGTAAGAGATCGCGTTTCAACTGGAGATATATTTGGAACCGGGTGACATCCTCTTTTAGTAGCAATGGATTCGGTGGATAGAATTTTACACGGAAGCTAAACAGTATCGGTGATGCATCTGAAAATTGTACAATTTTTACCTTAAAAACGTTCACTTTAACTGGATATAGAATATTATGATGGATGTATCTTGGAACAATTATTTTTGGGCCATACAAATACTTTCGTAGTTTCGGGTTCCGTGAGAGATTCGAACCCGTACTATGAACTATCATATTGACATTAATAAACAGATCATCAAATAAATAAATTGTAAATTAAACAAATGCGTACTGTTAATTACTGTAAGAGCTCTGCGATTGTCGTAAAGAGCAATGGCAGACTTTCATACATAAAATTAGTTGAGAAGAAATGGTAGCGTCTATATACCAAAAATATCTTAAAATGTTAAGCGTCAGTCCCTTAATAAATCTGTCAAAGAATTTCGTACTGAGAAGGCGTTAAAAAAAAAGATATTTACATTTGAACCTTTTTAGGTTATGTCCTATGTCACTTGGAAAAAGTCATGCTTCCTGTGGTTGTTTGATGTTAGCTTAATACATAATACATAATTGAGAGTTTTTAGATTATTGTATCTCTATTATATATTTGCATACTATAAATGTATATTTCTGACATGGCTCCAGGGCTTTTGTATCATAGTGACATTCTCAGAAGGGCTAGAACCCAAAGCCGTATAGCCAGTAAAAAAAAAAACAGTGACATTTTATTTTAGCTAGTGTTGGCATAACATTAAATGGAATTGTTACATAGTACTATGATTGAGATAACGCATTATGGTAGGAAATTCTTTGTAAGAGACTTATTCTCAGCCATATCACTTTTATTTTTATTATTACTGATAGTACAGTTATTACTGTTGCGCGCCACTAATGTACATGGCAACACTAGTTACCCTAGCGCCCTCTAGTGTCGAGTAGCAGAACTAGGAGAGTCAAGATCCTTCCAGAAATTTCGGGACCGATATGTACTCGAACATTCTAGATGTCGCTACAGTAGAATGTTCTGGAAACTATCTGAGGCCCTATATAAGGCCGGTATACACCACGACCAAGGCAGTATTGAATTGGCGATACAAGAGAATACTTCGAAGCGAAACAACTGCGAACTTAAGTGATCTACTGATCACTTTAATTTTAATTATTGTGTTTTATTATTAGTGGGTGTTTAAGGTGTAATTAGTATCCGTAATTAAAGTGTCAATTTTGGTAATTCAATCGACAGTTTTTAATTGTCTCGAACCTCAAGCTCGTAACATTACTAATAATAACTTAATATAAAAATATTTTGTGTGTTGTGTTGGTAGTCTTACAAAGTATATACGAAAATAGTATGAATATACTAAATGGCAACATTTGAATAGAGTAACATGATTTAAGTCATTTGATATTCCCAAAAATGTATTTTTTTTTTCTGTGGCTTTAATTAAAATACATTTTTATTTGAAAAATCATAGAAATATAATAAAACTCATTTTATATATAACTTATTTCTAGACGCTATAATTTTTGTCAACTATTTTTCTGCCATTGCTCTTTCGTCGTAAAAAATGTTTATTTCAATTTTAAGTGCTGCTTTGCTTTGCTTGGCAGAGAAGGAAAATATGGTATAGATAAATTAAAAATTTTAAAACACCCGAAACAAAAAGAGATGGTGATCTTCAAACGACTGAACAGATTTTCTTGAAAAATAGCTAAGAACACTCTCGACCAATACCTCCCTCGCACTAGGTAGCCTGGCTGCACAGCCAGGCTGCGGCGGCCGAAATATTTGAGCAGCTACTTTTAAACAGCCAATGGACGGCCAGTTGCGACCCTTTCTTCGAGCGATATGGACGTGGAAGAACTTGTAATTTTGTGCGTATTTCGTAAAATACATAAAGCTAAAAGACATTAGATTCCTCTTTTTCGAAAACGGTACTCAAAAGGATTATTCATTTTTCTATTTTAAAGATGTTCGTAAATACCCAGACCGGTTTTTTAACTACACGAGAATGTCAGTGCAATTGTTTGATAACCTTTTGGAAAATATAAGAAATTCAATCAAGGGTACTGATACTCCTATTTGAGCTTGTGTAACAACAGAAGAAATATTGGTGATTACTTGAATAAAAAATACTGTTAATTATTCATAACATTTATTCTTTAGTTCTTACATTTATGGTAAATAATTTTCCTGAAATAGTTCAAATAATTCAGAATTCTGTGACGTTTATGTTACATTTGTGTCAGATGGAGATAACACCTCAGTATATACAGTATTGTCTTGCCTGTCTGGAACACACGTAGAATATTCACGGTGGCTTTCACTGCTCGAGGCTTATGGCCCATAATTTGACTGTGTTGAGTATCCATGGCGATACTGTCCACTGACCGATGTTTCTGGTCTATATGATCTGGTGGCCGATGTCCCTGGTTCATAATCAACATGACCTCGGCAAAACAGACCAAATCCAGAATTGTAAGTTTCCATAGAAGGCATTTATATCAGGCTCTTTTTATTATGACAAGTAACTCCATTATTGTAGATAGTTTACGATGTTTTGGAATGTTTTGAAAATCTTCTAGAAGCAAAAGAATGAATCTGAATCAGATTCTTGTTTTCTTTCACGCTTTTCTCTTATTGCGATACTTTCCTTTAATACTTGAACCAAATTTTCGTCGTCACTTGTCTTCTTCTTTTTGGAAACAGGTTGTTTACCTTGAATACAACCGCTGTCATCGTTGGTTTTCACAGGGCGTGTTTCACCCATGCTATTTTGAGTTTCATTGTTTATTACAGTGGCATTAAGAAACTGTAGCTGTTCGAAATATACGTAAGGACTCTTACTCGAAGCTGCTGCACCAATTTTAGCACCGGCTCTGCGTTTTATTTCCCTGCTGTGACTAGTCCTGACGTTCTTCCACTTTTGCTGTAGAGATTTGAAAATTAATATAAGTACTTTGTTACAGATATCTTGCTACAGGATGTTCTATGAAAAAAATTAGCCATGATTTTCGGATTGGACATACCACTGTCCGAGATGTGATATATGAAATTTGCATGGGGATTTGGGAGAATATGAGACAGCCAAAATATCCAGAATTAAATGAAGAAAGGTAGCTTGCAATAGCAAAAGGTTTCAATGAAAAAGCAAACTATCCCAAAAATAACAGCCAAAATAGAATCTTTAACTATAGTCTGTCTTGGGCAAGGCAGTACATAGAGAATCTGGCAAACAAATGGAGAAATTTTCACAGTCATGAAAGCAAGCATGCAGTGTCTTAGATAATTACATGCGCGAAAGAGATGGTTATAGATTTAAAGACACACTGTACATTCCTCCAAACCTCGAAATAACCCCAGATAGAGAATCTGGCAAACAAATGGAGAAATTTTCACAGTCATGAAAGCAAGCATGCAGTGTCTTAGATAATTACATGCGCGAAAGAGATGGTTATAGATTTAAAGACACACTGTACATTCCTCCAAACCTCGAAATAACCCCAGGTCCCTTAAATAGAGGGAGCCGATCAACAGCATCTTATAGGCATTTATTTGCGGATTATTTTATCAATGAAATTCCGCTAGAATGGCAAAACCAATATGCATTGGGATAGTAGGTACCTACCTACTCTATACAATGAAGTTTATGTACAATAAACTAAAAATACATCCGTAGAATAATACTGACTGATAAAAAACAAAACTTACCAAATTCACTTTTTTCATTTGCTGTTAAATTGTCCTCGCACATTATATTCGTGATTTCTTCCCATCTTCTTTTATTTACATCACAATCACTGTATTCTTCTGAAGATATATACCATACTGCTTTACGACTTTCAATTCCGCGAATAAATTTCTCCGTATCGAAAGTCATTTTGTGGTTTCGGAACACAAAATACGTCTAGCTGCTACGACGGTCGGCGGTGACTGCCATCAGCCACATACATTCGCCTACTCGGTACTCGCTGGTGCTGCCCGCAGCCAACCGACTGCCTCGCGTTTATAGTCGGTAGTTTGTGACTGCTTAGGTGCGTGGGCTCTCATACACCGTTTATAATCGACTGGCTGCTGCAGCCAGGCTGCCTAGTGCGCGTTGGGCCTAAGACACCTTTCAAATGAATAGAGCCTAATCAAAATTGGTTCATCCGTTCAGGAGCTATGATGCCACAAACAGACACAGATTCACACCACAAGTATAAAACATATAACACCCCTCTGTCTTCATTGGGAGTTAAAAATTGCATGTCTAAGCATTAAAATGTTTGGAAGACATGAGTAGTCCAACACCATGCTCTGAAGCAGTATGACGGACTAATTACTACATAACCCTCACGGGAATGAGAGGAAGCCTGTACCCAACAGTAAGACATATAAGCTAAACTTTTACCTTTTACTTTTCAAAAATCCAATACTTTAGTACATTTGTTTATGAATATTTATATTCATAAATAAATGTATTATAATATGTGACAGTGGCAAGAGAATGTATCAATCAATTTTATCATGTGGGTGTAATAAGGGATTATTATGAGAAGTGCCAAAAAAATCATATATCAATCATATATGTATATATATATAGATACAATGATATGAAAACAATGATTTTTAGAGAAGTAATATTCCCAGGCCTGACTGTGATCACCAATTTACCTGTCAAGCATGGCAGTTAAGGCAAAACCTCCTGGCCCATAGACATATACATCTATCCTCGGTTAAGAATAAAAATGCGGATGTGCTGTCACCCATAAGTGCTAAGAAGATGGAATGTCTCGTTTCCAGTAAAAAGGGTCTCTGGTTCTCTACTACTCTCTCTCTACTCTCGTTCTCCACTCACCATTCAAACAAAGCAACATTAAAATGCAATTCTTTATTATTATAATTATTATATTCTCTGGTCTAACCAGCCCATTTGTTCTACAACCATTTTATAGATGCAGCATAGCTATGTAAAAAATGGTAAATAAATAGCAATAAGAAAGAATGAAAAATAAATAGTTACCTTTCACTTGTTTCAATATTAATTTAGCTACATGCAGCCAATGCTGGAAAGAGTAATAAAAATATTTAATCAATCCTGTACATTTTTGTACAAAATTAAATTGACAAACAAACATGCAGTTCAACTGATGGTAAGTGGCTTCGGCAGCCTATGGACTCCAGGAGCCAACTTCAAATAAGGAAGGCAACAGATGTGATGTCACCTCTAAGGAATAAGATGGAATACCTCAAAATCTTTAATTGTACTGGCTCTTTCTACCCTTCAGGCAGGAACACAGCACACACACATTTGGGTGCAGAAATAGGTAAGAGGGTGGTTCCCACCTAGACCTGCTCTTAGTCCTATCAACTAATTAACGACGACTTTAAGTGAACAAATCTTATAAATACTATATACATATAGTACCTCTTACAGGGTTATTTTTCAAAGCGTAGCCAAATTTTAAACTTCATTTCAAATATATAAATAATGATACACCGTTATTGCAGTTTTTGAAAATACGAGTAAATAAGGTTTCAAATAATTGTGGTATATAACTCTATAATATAACTCTTCCAAATTTAAAATGATATTCGTTTTAAATTTGGAAGAGTTATATTATTAGGAATGACAATGCATTCATTGATGTTGAATGATATATAACTTACAAATTGGTGTTGGTTGGTGTCTGTACTATACGCGCACCACTTACTGTAAGTTAATTGTACTATGCCCATAACAACCCATACATACTCCAACCAAAATATAGCTGGCTTGGCTCTACCAAGTATAAAATAATAATAAACACATATTGCCAGAAATTTGGGGATCTATGAAAACCTTAGTTGACACTTTCATTCGAAGTTAGATGTTCTGTGGGAAGAAGCCAACTACAGCCACTACAAACAAGCCCCAACAATACTAATGTCACTCAATCGTTTTGCCTTCCCAGAACCCCTCCACTAACACGTAAGCTTTATGGTATGGTATTAAAGTTCAAATTGACTTTTAAGTATTATTATATAAATCTTTTGTATGGGAATATAGAAAAGTGTTGTTTTTAGACTGTTTCAGGCAATTTTTTAAATTTTTCTCATCGTAAGAACCATCTTCGTACTTCAAGGAATATTATAAAAAAAAGAATCGGTTCAGCTGCTCTCGAGATTTGCGCTTAGCAACACATTCAGCAATTCATTTTTATATTATAGATTATCTCAAATGGAATGTGATTTATGGGCAATTACGCGTACATGCGCTCCTCTGTGTGTGATTCAATTCACAACGTTTTTGCCAACCGATTGACCCTTCCGAATGTATGCGTGCGTAGTAAAATAATATGCGTTACATATTTATATATATGACAATCAGTTAAAATAATGCACTACCACACATTTCTAGAAAAGATAAAAAGGACAGAATGTTTGAGATTTTTTGAAATTAATTTTTCTTCACCATTTGCCTATATTGTTTACTCTGAATCTTATCTGTAATTTTTGCTGGTCGTTGCAAAATAACCTTTTATAGGTTTCTCAGAAACGGTTCTAACAAATGGGATTATAATAAAATAATGACTTTTTTTATAGGATAAGGGTGACAAATGAGCACACAATCCACCTGATGGTAAGTGGTTGTTGCGGCCTATAGACATCTACAGCTATCCTCATTTGCGAATCAAATAGCAGATGTGTTGTCACCCGTGAGGACTAAGATGGAATGCCTCATTTCCAGTAAAAAGGGTCTCCGGTTCTCTACACTCACCATATGAAACACAGCAGCGTTAAGCTGCTATTTTACGCTGGTATTCTGTGAGAGCGTGGTCCTTCCCTGGTCGAGCCGACCCATTCGTGCTACAACTATACTACTAATATAGCTGCAGCATGGCTCTACCACGTAAGACTTTCAAGTTTTCAAGCAAAATATTTTGTGTGGTAGATTTATTATAAAAACCACAACACTTCTTTACATTAGGTGTTGTAAAAACAAACATAGGAAAATGGCCAGAGGATCTTGTGACCCCAAGGGAAGAGAACCTTGACAAGCAGAGTCAATGATGAATTTCAATAAAATTGACAAAACATTACAGCATAGTAGACTGTGAACATCCCCTTTTATATTTTGAATGTTATAAATACATTATCTAAAATTTAATTAATTGAATTTTAAATAAAATGTTTTGTAATATTGTATATAAGTAAAATACAATTTTCATACCCTTTGACCTGCAGCATCTACATATCGAAGCCCAAAGTAATCAGTTTCACTCAAATTCAATTGTTGGCATACTTGCTCTAAAAGGTGTTTTCCTTTATTACTGGGCTAAAATAAAAGTTTTACATTTTTATCACATTAATTACATTCATAATAAAATAAAATGCTTCACAATAAAATTATAATTGTTATGCCTTTATTTTTTCAAGCTTTACTACTTATTAAACCAAAACCATGTAACCTACTTCATATCGTCCCGTAGGAGCCAACAGAGGGAAATAAATCAGGAGATAGGTAACAGTTATTCCTAATAACAACAACTAAAAATAAAAACTGCAGTTGCCAACCCATTTGCCAAGCGTGGAAACTATGGCAAATTCCCCCCCCCCCCTCCCCCTAGAAGCAATCTAGGGGAAGGCCTATCTATATTCAGCAGTGACTTTAATAGGCTGCCACAGTATCAGGCTGGTGTCAACTAATCAAGTTACCAATCCAAATACATAGGTATTTATGTATTTGGATTGGTTAGTTCAATATAGAGAGTAAGGAGGAGAGTATTTAAAATTGTTTCTAAAATTAAATATAGCAGTCTAAACAAGAACATGAGTAGGAATGAATTCATTGACCACATTTGTATGCAGCATTGAATTGTATGTAAACTGTTAAATTAAGCAAGTTTATATTATTTTATATTTTTATTAACACATTACAGTTACATCATTACAGCCTATTAAAGTCCACTGCTGAACATAGGCCATCCTCTTAGATTGCCACATAGGGGAGATATTTGCCATAGTCGCCGCGCTTGGCAAGCGGGTTGGCAACTGCAGATTTTTTTAGTTTTAGTTGTTATTAGGGTGACGCTGCAGCCTATCTTATGATTTATTTCCCTCTGTCGCCTCTTACAACACCCACAGGATGATATCAGATATTGGATATTCTTACACCGACACTACACAGTACAGGATAAGTCGACACATTAACTAATTGACACTTTCAACTAGTTAATGAAATAATTGATGAACAAAAATCAACAGTTTTGTTACGTTAAAAAGATAAACCATCAACAACACTTCATTAATTATACCAGAGGAGGAATGAAAAATATTAAAGTGAAGTTAAAGGTTTATTAGTCATCTGAGAATCAGAATCCTTGGTTAAAGGAACTTAATGTTAAAAATTAAATTCCACAGATACTTACTAAATTTAATATTATGACAAAAAAGAAATTCGAAGTTTTAAAATACTGTTAAGATTAATTTTACTTGATTAATCTTAAGTTTAGTACAACAGGTAAATACCATTATAATATAAACTGACAAAATTAATAAATTGGAGTATACCGATGTGGACTTGTTGAATCTTTACTTACATGAAATTCACATTCTAATATTTCAGTGTCTTCCAATAAACGAACAGTACATTTATAAACAATATTACTATCACCGCGACTCTTAAACATAATGACGAATATATTCTTCAATAATAAATCATCTAGAAGTTATCAATTTATCATTTTATAGCAAAACCCAAGGTAATTTATTATTTTAATTTTACTTTATCTCACAAACTATTTCTACACCACACATTTACATTTTACAATATTTTTTTATGAATTCGGTTAGAATCTACTAGAGGCCGGCCACATACATACGGAATTCCGTTTCGGGATTCCGTTTCGATATTCCAATTCGGGATTTCGAAAGCAGCAAGTCCATATAAGGCCCGCTCTATACATACGGAATTCCGTTTCGAGATTCCGTTTCGGAATTTCGAACGGTCGGCCACACACAAACGGAATCCCGTTTTGCCCGCAAAATATCGAACGGAAAACTACCGTACGTGTGTGGCGGGTCATAGATTTTATATGGACTTGCTGCGTTCGGGATTCCGAATCGGAATATCGAAACGGAATCTCGAAACGGAATTCCGTATGTATGTGGCCGGCCTAAGGCTCGCCACACACATACGGAATTCCGTTTAGAGATTCCGTTTCGAGATTCCGTTTCGGAATTCCGAACGGTCGGCCACACACAAACGGAATCCCGTTTAGCCCGCAAAATATCGAACGGAAAACTACCGTACGTGTGTGGCGGGTCATAGATTTTATATGGACTTGCTGCGTTCGGGATTCCGAATCGGAATATCGAAACGGAATCTCGAAACGAAATTCCGTATGTATGTGGCCGGCCTAAGGCCCTGGTTTTCCGTTCGATATTTTGCGGGCAAAACGGTATTCCGTTTGTGTGTGGCCGACCGTTCGGAATTCCGAAACGGAATCTCGAAACTGAATTCCGTATGTATGTGGCGGTGTAAAATCTATGACCCGCCACACACGTACGTTATTTTTCCGTACGGAATTTCTCCGATTCGAGATTCCGTATGACCGCCTGTGCGTTCGGGATCCCGAACGGAAAAAAGCCGCTCCGAACGCACGTCTTCCATAGATTTTGTACGAGTCGCAACACACATACGTAAATTCCGTACGGAATGCGCTCAGTGTTCGTCGCACGATCGAAGCGAGTAGGTGTATTTATGTATGTTTTTACATTTAATCTTGTAGGTGTTTAGCTTTTCGTAACCTTTCATCTTATTTTATTTAATAATTCGTCGATAGAATTTACATACATAAATATTTAAAAAATATCTCTGGATAGATAAATCTTTTTACATAGTATTGACTATATTGCAAGCTTAGGGTGATAAGGGGATGCACCTAGTAAGAATGACACAGCAACAATGGAATTTGCAATTAGAAAATCGTCGTCATTATTCGCTGGCAGAATGTCTAGACTCAATGGCTAACGTCTCTCAACTGACCCTTGTTATTCCGAACGGAAAAAAAACGTGTGTGTGTGATGTATTCACGGTATCCCGATTCGGGATTCCGAAACGGAATCTCGAAACGGAATTCCGTATGTATGTGGCCGGCCTTAGGCCGTGTGTGTGTGATGTATTCACGGAATATATATAGCCATAGCAACAATGGAATTTGCAATTAGAAAATCGTCGTCATTATTCGCTGACAGAATGTCTAGACTCAATGGCTAACGTCTCTCAACTGACCCTTGTAAGGCCGGCCATATACATACGGAATTCCGTTTCGAGATTCCGTTTCGATATTCAGATTCGGAATCCCGAACGCAGCAAGTCCATATAAAATCTATGACCCGCCACACACGTACGCTAGTTTTCCGTTCGATATTTTGCGGGCAAAACGGGATTCCGTTTGTGTGTGGTCGACAGTTCGGAATTCCGAAACGGAATCTCGAAACGGAATTCCGTATGTATGTGGCGGGCCTTATTCCAACGGAAAAAAACGTGTGTGTGTGATGTATTCACGGAATACCGATTCGGAATTCCGAAATGGAATTACGAAACGGAATTCCGTATGTATGTGGCCGGCCCTCTCTATCTCGACCACAGAGTACATTTTTAAATATAGGAAATCTCGACGTCAGAATCAGAAACACAGAGTAGGAGTACTTTACGTAAACTTAGAATATACTGGCGTAAGTATAATTTAAGTCTATGGTACTTTAAACACGCGTTGAGGCCGCGTTGCGACGACACGCACCCGCTACGCGCACGCCACGCGCGTCAGCACCCGCGTCTAACTCGCTTTGAAATTTGTTTCATATAATTTGACTCTTATGGCAAATCAATAAATCTGAAATTTTCCTTAGGATTCAATATATCTTTGTCATACATTATTGTAATGATCCACAACTTTTTTGCCACAATGGCGACGCCACATACAAACGATATTTGACAGATTTCATTAGCGGGGAAGTTAATTTGTTTCAAAATTAACTTTCCAGCGCGTTTGTTTTTAATATGATGAATATAAAGTTACATTTAATATTAATTAGATTAAAAATAAATAACCCAAACTACATATTATATTCATAAAAGTAGATAAATTAAAAAAGAGTTAAATATGTACAAAAATTAAGGAGCAAACCACTGAGGTATCATTTTATCTAATAATATAATACTCTAGAAACTGATAAACTTTTATATACTAACTAACTTCTCAATTAAATGACATTGTGTAACAAAGAACTCCACCTCAGTATTAACTAGTGACATCTGTTGAGTGGAGGTCCTCGTCATATGGAATGGTAATGTAGACCAAAAATATCCTTGACTGTGCCCAGTCCATTAGCACAATATCAGACTTATTCGCAAGAATAGTCCTATCTGTGATGATGCCCCGGTCCTAGTAGAACCTGGCGAGGTCATTTTCGAGCACGGCTTCGGGCAAATACTTATAATAAGGCAGTTTCCAAACCACGTGACCCGTAAAATCCTAGTTACTAGATTATGGCTGTGCAAGTACTTAGAGTTAGAAAGCGTGCCTATTTGACTCACCAGGATGACAAGACAAGCGGGACAAGTAATGACCCCTGGAGAAATGTTTTACTTTCATGGATCGTTTTTCGTGAGAATTTATATTTTAACGTTAATTATCTAGAAACAGGTAGCTATTAATATGAAAAATAAAATATTACATTAAAGTAAAGTATAGTATAAAAAGTAAAAACCAATATAAAGTTATGTCTTTACAACGCAAATCGAGCACTTATTTTCATTCCTCTTCTTATTGTGTGGTATGCAAGTCTATCGATCCTGTATAAACATGCAAGGTAAATATCGATAATTATTTTGATAAAGTGGAGTCAATCTATAATGTACATATTAAATAGTTTGATGAAAAATGTATCCAACAAAATCATGCAAATTATCAACAACATGACTTTTCCTTTGCAAAATATAAAAATTAACAATGTTATTGCAATAATGCTTTATTTTAAACAGTATAAAACAAAAATATTAACCTAAAATAATCGCGTCATAGCAGTGATGACGTTCTGAGAATTAATCTGTGAAATTTGTAATTATCAGCATTTTTCTATTATTAAGAGCGCAGCCACTCTCTGAACAAGTAACCATTGTTGAAGACAATTGTTTTTACTAAAAATAAACACGACAAATGAAAAAAAAAATTCTGAGGAGCTCATTCCTTGCGTGCCGACTTGTGACGGCCAGTGACGGCTTTCAAAGTCATAGTCATGAAATTTGCTATCCTTTTATAACTTGCTATATTGCCATAAGGAATTTTCTTCTCCTTTGCACGCTATGGCCGTTTACTACAATTCTGAATTCATGGAATAAAACGCTCTTAGTTGTGGAAGTGGCAGAGGGTATAATATTTTAATTTTTATCTATTTAGTTAACTTTTTAGCAGTTAGATTTTTATCATTGGACATCGAGTACATTAGTCTCCTGTTTTGTTTTTTAAATAATAGTTAGAAGAAGATTTCAATAATAAAAGCGATGCCATTTTGTGTATTTAATATCTACGCATGTAAATTATTAGTGGTAGCAACGAAACAAATGCTGCAAGTTGTACCTTCACTAATATTGTCCGCTTAGGTGCTTTATTAAATCGAGATACTGCCGTCATTGACTAAGTGCTAACTTTTGCTGCGGTCAAAATCTCTCGAGAACATCACCATGTATCGTATCAACATATTGTGAAATCGTTAACGTAAAATTTATATTGTGTAAAATATCTTGTTAGGAATGAGGTTAAGAAAATAAAAAGTAAATACAAACAAATGAGGGTAGAATTGAGGTTAGATCCTCCACTCGCTTGTGCAGTATAAAATTCACTGTAGGTGCCGTGCGCAAGAGATTCTGCCTAAGTCATTATCGTGGTTCTGCCCGATGTCGTAATTCTGCTAGTGCAGGCAAGGAAAATGGTGTTGCAAAAAAGAGCTGCTCTGTGTTACGATGAAATGGATAGTGCTGCTGTTGGTTTGCATACTTTGGTGTTATCATGTAATTATGTCCCTCACGTTACACTACTATGTGATTATGACGGCGACATATTACTGTATGGTCGAACTGTATTTGCTCTATACTGAATGTTTTATTAAATGATTAATAACGATTAATTGCGTAAACAAGAGAGAAAGTTAAACATCCGCTCTCAAACATTTATTATTTTTTAAATTAAACTCCAGAGTAATTTTTAATAATATTATAATATAATAAGGTCTAATAACGTACGCCTGATTCTATTAGTTAGTTTACGAGTTATTTTATTAGTTGATATTATTGATTGAGCAGTTTGATAAGGCAAACCCGGGTTGTCGTCTTCTATGGAGGCTTTGCTATCGGGCAATAAGGTCTCCAGCCAAAAAAAAAATAAATAAAACATCATTTGTTAAGAAAAAACAGATTTAGAATATAAATAATTTGTTTTTTTTTTGTACATTGTTTGCACTTTGTTCCTGCTTTTCTTTTGTTCATGTATTGTATTGTATGTAAATATCTTTTTCTTTCGCTCAAGTAAACCCAAACGGTTTTTTTTCAAAGCTACCGAAGGTATGCAATTGCTGATATGCCATACAATCTATCTAGCAGTAGTATGCCTTCTGTGTGCTTTGTTAA